TGGGGTTAGTATTAACGATAGTGATAGTGTGATAGTTTATTTATGGATTGCCGACAAGATGTTTTCGCTTTGCTATGCATTTCTGCTATACTTTTATCCCAGCTGTATTCCAGGAGTGCTACATTCTCAGCAGCACAGAAAATGTAGTGCACAGTAACAAAGCAGCAAGTTAGACTTGCTTTTTCTCTTATCTTGAGCTCTTTACTCATCTTTCCCCGGACAAAATAGCTTGTCTGTAGAGTGGTCACTCGGTGTTCAAAGGACTTTTGTTTGTGTTTGATTTCGGCTTTCAGGAGATGTTTCATCTTAATAGTGAACTCAAAAGGATATTTTTGAGCTGTGTACCTTGAGAAGGAAAAATATTATTTTTGATGTTTTGAATTTTGCAATTTACTGTCAAACAAGATAATTTCTGTCACTCTCTTGGTATCTGGGAGTAAGTTTAGATTTTGGTGTCTGCTGCACATTTTTTGGGCCCCTCTTTTGTATCCTGTTGTTCCACTGTATCTCTCACACTGGTACCTTAAAGTTCTCCTTAAGTAGCTTCTCTTCTGTTCATGTTTTGATGCAAAACTGAGCTTTGAAATAAACTGTGTCACTTGCTACAGGTGCTGCTCCAAAATCATTAACTGCACAACTGCTCAGAACAAGATTTTGTCTTGAACCCACTTTATTTGATGTAATGACCTCACATTAGTGATTGTTTTAATGTTGTGCTGCTGTTAACAAATTCTGATGACAAAAATTAACACATGGCTTACAAGCACACGCAGTCTTAATTTTATACTTGAAAGCAGCGCCCATTATAAACTTTGTGTGTTCACTGGCTGAAGCAATAAAGTCAACCTTCAAGCATTAGTCCTTTTTCAGGTTTTCCCTCAGGGTAAACCTTCACATTGGTAAAGTAGTAACATCAAAAAAAAAACATAGAGTGACTGCTGTGGTTTTCCTTGTTTCAGCCAGGGGAACTTGCATGCACTTCCCCTTCCTTTCTCTTTGGCCCAGTTTCTGCTTTCTTTTTCTGATAGACAGAACCTGTTATTCTTTTATACAGTGTTTTCTTTACTTTGTGAACTTTTCCAAAGTGTGTTGCATGATATCAGCAGCTTCAGTTGTTTCCATTCCTTTCAGTATTGAATTGCACTTCTGCAAAGCATACATGAAAAATATTACAATAATTTTTACATGCACAAAGGAATTGCGGTTAATACTGAATATTTATAGCTTTCTTTGCTCTTGGCATTATTTTTTTTCCTGCATAAACACAAATTCTATATACTTTTGAAAACTACTTGGAACTGTATTTTGGAGAGCTTTCGTAATGAGCAGACTGTAGTTCTGGTCAAAGATCTGTAGTTCTCCTGAGAACAGCACTTTTCCTGGAGGGAGTGGGGTTCAGTCATTAGTAACGTCTTGTCACCAGAATGATAAGGCAGCATGTGTTAAGTTTAGCTGGTAAATGAGAACACTTAGTCGCTCACTCCCAGGAAGTTCGGCTGCTGAAGTTGGGAACCAGATGGAAGAGCTAATCAATGTCTGCTCAAATGGGCTGGTTTTTAGTAGCGTTCAGTGAATTTTGGCTATTTGATATACCAACACCCACACCGCAGTCTTTAAGATGTTGTTTTTTTTTTTTTTTTTCCAAAGGAGGAGAACTTCACTTTGAAATTAGGAATCAATAGCTCAAAATTAGTAAAACATATGTAACTACATCAAAATTAATTAATACGAGTGCGAGAAATAGCTGCACTTTTAAGGTAATTCCTTCAAATTAGACAAATACCAGGAATTAGTGGCCCTCAGAAATAATTTTATTTTACTTCAGAATCTTTGCACAAGTGTATGAACCTTTACAAAAGAGTGATTACTCAGATTGGCAATGTAACATGTATTTAATCTCAGCTGGTAGCTAACAATTCATCCGAAAATAGAAACTTCATCCTAGAGTTACCTGTCATAGTAGGGTTAAAGCATGTCAGCCAAGTGTTTGGGAGCTTACATTTTTCTAATGCTTTCCAGAACTGGGCTTTGTTTGTGTATAGGCCAGTATCTTAGTCTTAGTCTTTACTTTGATTTTGTGTCTGCATAACTAATTTGAGAGGGTTGAGGGTTTTTTTTCAGTTTTTATCAGTAGAACACTTCTCTCATAATAATATGTAGCATTGCTGGAGTTATGTCTCTGTTATATTCCCCGGAATAGCTGTGCTCTAAAAAGCAGACTTATACAAGGTCTGTCTGCTATGAGAAGAGGAAGTTGGGCATATTTGGGGGTAGGGACACTTCAGCTGAACAAGTAAAGAAGTACAATTTTTCTGTATTAAGAGTTGCTGAGTCTGGTAGCCAATGCAGCTCCCACAGCTCTGGGCCACCAAGTCCAGTTGGCGGCAAGGTTGTTTCCTATCTCTGTCTTGCAGTCCTTGATCAGAGAAGACTCCATGAAATCACTGAGTATTTTAATTGAAAAGGGCAGGACCTGTCCCTGAAATACCTTTTCACCTCTGAGAGGAGTCTCTGGAGGAGTTTGTCGGGAGGGAGAGTATCTGTATGCACAGTTCTCTCCCACGGTGGATAAATTATTGACAGTTCTGAGAAGTGAAATCCTTTTCCTGGCACTACTCAGAGGCACTAAATTCATCTTGAGGCAGATGAGGCTAGAAGAAGTGGAGAGGAAAATCACATCAGTCAAGGATAAATCTTTAATGTTATCTATCATGTGTTACTTTGGAAATAGAGTGGTCTGAAGGGCCTGGTATTCCTTAGAATTAATCTCTGTGCTATTCTTCAGCCAGAGTTGAGTTTTCGGTATGGTTTTATTACAGAAAGATGCAATATGATAATTACATTGCTTGAAATACATGTCTACAGCAGGGAGTGTAGCACTCGAAGAATGATCCAAAATATCATGTGCTCAGTTCAGTCTTCAGTTTGTTCAGGTATTCTTCTGTATTTCAATACCTAGTAAACTTCATAGTAAAATAAACTAGCTTTGTCTAGTGTGTGGTGTCCTGATACTTATTCTGTGGTAGCTGGTGTGCTGAAGTGCTACTGTGAATGCCCAGCTGTAGAAATACAGAAGATGTAATGAGTCCACAGACTGTCAGGGAATGGATAAGCCATTAAGTTTGATTTCCTACTTGCCATTTGTGAGGGCACATTTCCACACAGGATGCAGGTGTGGATAGATACCAAGCACCATGACTTTTTTAAAGTCTTGCATTTCAAAGTCCTATGTGCAAAGGGTCATTAGCAATTAGCATTCCACTGTCTTATCGCAGCAGGGCATGGTGTTCATATACTGGGCTTTGTGTCTTTACCAGGTTAAATTCAGCTGTCATTAAATTCAAGGAAAAGACAAGACTGCTGTGGAAAACTTCCAAGGCTTTTTCAAAGAGACCAACACTGGATAGTGAAGAGTATACAGATGTCTGAGCTGTGTGCTTCTATTTTTCCAAGAACTGAGACAACTCAGCGCTTTTTAGGCCCTACAAGGAGACAACAGAGGAATTCAGTTATTAATCTCAAATGTGGTGTTGGTAGCTTCTGGGGGGAAAACTTTTTCACTGTGAGGGTGACTGAGCTCTGGCACAGGTTCCCAGAGAGGTTGTGGAATCTTCATCCTTTGGGATATTCAAAAGCTGTCTGGACGTGGTCCTGGGCAGCCGGCTCTAGACAACTCCGCTTGAGCAGGGGACTGGACCAGATGCCCTCCAGAGGTCCCTTCCAACTTAAGCCACTCTGCGATTCTGTGAAGGACTGGACTCCATAGCTTCTCCATATGGTTAAACTCCTTATCCTTCCAAAATGGACTCACCAACTTATACATGGGGTTCTTTCTGTTTGCCCACAGGTCTCATTGCTACCGTCAAGTGAAGTGATAATCCTTTATTTCGATATTGCCTGTAAAAGAATGACTTGAGGACTTGATTGTCAAAAAAAAGCCTCAAGCAAGTAGGATGAGGCCTCAGTAACAACAGACCCTCATATGATCTGCCGAGTGGTGGGGGTTTTCCTTATAGAACTCCTGATTTTACCAGCTCTAAACATTTTATATTGTGGTCACAAATTCAGCGTTTGCCTCGACTCTTTTGGAGAACAGAGTGGTCAAATGATTGTGGTCCTTCCTTTTTTCTCATGCTGCCTGTGGTGTAGCAGTTGTTTGTGCCTGTGGTGCAATGGGCCACAGGACACCCAGTTCTCGAGCTCGGTGGAGCAGGAGCGGTGCTGATGTTGACTGGGTGTCAGGCTGTGTTCCGTTCTTGCAGCATGTTATTTCCAGATGCCAGTCACACCCAACCAGTCATCCCAAATTCCTCCAGAAAAGAAAAAGCTTCCTTCTCTTTCAGAAATGAAATACAAAATGCCTTTCTTAAAAAGCAACAAACAAAAAAACAACAACAACAAAAAAACCCCAACCTGTCAAGCTCTGGGGATGGGCCTGATGTGCAAAAAAAAAAAACCAAACCAAAACAAAAAAAAACAAAGACCTTTTTAAAGTTGTCGTTAACAGGAAGAAAAGGCATGACACAAACTGTGTGAAGGAGTTGATCTGTATTTTTCAGGGACCAGAGGGATGGAGGAGAGTGTACAGAAAGGGAAGGTGGCATCACGAACAAGTGTAAAAGAACATTATTTTTTCCTACAGGACAAAACTCTGAGATCTGAAAAATTCAAACCTACATTTCTAGTGTTGCTTTGCTGTATGAGCAGTTGCTTTTATTGCTTCAAATAGATTGTCTGGTCATAGAGACATCACAGAGATTATTACTGATGTTCACAAGCTAAGCAGTATGGCATGGGGCTCATACCATGAGTAATGTATGTAGTCTTTGTTAAAGGTAAAAGAGCACAGAGTAAGAATTGTAGCACTAGTATGCCGCAGTTTACTTCTAGGTAAAAGATAGAATTCAATTTAATCTCTGAAGAAATATGTTTGCTTCATTCCTGACTGTTTGTTGTTTGGTTTTGTTTTGTTTTGTTTTGTTTTGTTTTTTTCCCAATAGCTTGCACCTTCCCTTCCATTACAAGAAGATTTCATTTACCACTGGAAAGCAATCACCCATTACTACATAGAGACATCAGGTAAAACAAGAAAACATTCTTTTGTCTCTTTATTGTGAAAACTAGAATTACCAATTCCAGTGTTGTTAAAAAGTAAAGATTAAGAAATACTAAAATGAGTCATGTCTTTTATCAAAATACAAACAATAATAATTAGTAATTAAAAATATTGTGTACCTGAATTCATTCCTTTAAAAAGTAAGCATGAAAAATGATTGAGGGAAGGTCTTCTTTCCTGAGTACCATGTAGAGAATTGTAGCTTTTCGCATCTGACCCAATTTCTGTTTTCAGATATTCTATTTAATCTAAACAGACAACTACAGAAATGTAGTCCCTGCTGTTAAACTTTTTCTTGTTTTGCACCAGGGATTTTCTTTTTCTTTCCAATATTTTAGCAAAACTAATTTTATGGTCATAAATTTTTCCAGACATACATGAATTCTGTGTGCTGAGTATTAGGTATTTTTTCTTTAGTGTCTTGTCTCCATGAAAGGTATTGTCATAACATAGCTCTGAAAAGTGAATTTGTGAGCAGGTTTAGAACACATTTTGTTGAAACTTACCCAGACTTTATTCTGCTCTTTAAAAAAAAAAAAAAAAGGTATTCTGATGAAATATGGCTGTAGTTGCTTTTTCTTAAACTTTTCCCTGGTTTCCTAAAACAGTTATGCAACATTTAAATTTTTAAATTTTGGTCCTAGTTGTTGAACTACTAAGTTTTAAAAGTGAATGTTGCCATTCTTTCCTCAAACTGATTAGTTCTTTGTTTCTGTTACAGTAGCTAGTGAGTCTGTGTTTGTGTGTGCGACTGGTGATCTTGTTTATATCAATATTTACTCTGACAAGCTGAAACTTGACACTTGGTTCTAAATACCCATCTCTTGGAACACTATGTGATGTTTCCTAAGGTAGAAATGGCAGGGTGGTAGGGGAAAGCTGATACCTGCGATTATGTGGTGCACAATAAAAGCTGACCTCTCTCCTACACTTTCAAAAGTCTTGTGAAAAACAAGTTTCCACTCATTGGATATATTTCTGCCCTCTGGAGTGGGAGCAGAATCATGCCTAGGAAATTCAAGCAGAACACTCCAGGTTAACTAAACACTGTGGTAGAGACCAAAATCACTCTGACGTGGCAGTTTTCCTATGTGATCTTGTTGCTATTTGCATGCAAGTGACAGTTATTTTTAGAATATTGTGTAAGAACCAGTGACCATTTCCCTAGTGGGATATTTGTTCAAGTAGAATTTAGCTGAAAAAAATAAAAAGGAAAGTCTCCATGTGGACGCCCTCTGCAACATGTTATTGCCAGCTTCCACTGCCAGTGGCATAAATCCACAGCAGTTCCATGACTTTAGTATAATGAAGTCAGAGTCTCACCCTTTCCTTCAAAAAGTTTGACAGAATGCTGTCTTAATGCAGAAAGTATAAAAGACAAATCTATAAACTTTTGAAGAATAAACAGTATAGAGTTTGTGTTTTCTTTCTTATCATTATTTATTTAGTTATCTAGTTTGTAAAGGAACTCATCAGCTGCAAATTAAGCTGGTGTTAGAGGCTGTTCATAGATTTCAGAATACTATGTGATGAGTCAAAGAGGAAGTTATCAAGACAGTGTTTACCATCCAGAAAATTGAGAGGGAGTTGAGTTGAACCGTTCACTCCCTAAGCTTGGTTTCTGGCTGTAAAAGTTTTATTTTTTGACTGTGTAATTAATGCATATTTTGAAATTCGGCATTTCATCTTTTCCCCATTGCAAGGTTAGATATCTGCCTAATGCATATTCCAGTTTACATTTCCAGATATGGTTCTGAAAATTCAATTTAAGAAATGTTAAAAAACTTACATACTATATATATGATTCATTAAATGAGTGGTCATGTTTTTACATATTAAATTTGTAACTGAACTTAAGAAAAGTGAGGAGACTATTTTAATCATTCTTAATTGCACATCTCTTCTATTTAGATGACAAAGCTCCTGTGACTGATACCAACATTCCTTCTCACCTGGAACAGATGTTGGATATTCTAGTTCAAGAAGAAAATGAGAGGGAATCAGGTGAAACAGGACCATGTATGGAATATCTGCTACATCACAAGATTTTGGAGACACTGTACACTCTAGGAAAAGCTGATGTATGTACTTCTCAACAGAGCAGATTATCTTTTGTGTGAGCTCCTAATTGTAATAGGGACTGAAGTTCTACAGCAGGTGGTAGTGTGGGACACTAAACTCTAGCAAATACTTGTCTGCTGAAGTTACCAACAGATTACAAATACCAGTCTTTCACAAGTGTGATCAAAGTGAGATAACCAGTGAGATGCTCACTAAGGCAAAACCCTGAGATTTGTAACTAACCACTCTGATAATATTGATTGTGAAGATAGAAGTAGGAGAAACATTTTTGTTCAGTCTAGAATTTTTCTGAGTTCTACAAGACAGTATTATCCCTCTCTGTCCGTTGTTAAGTGTTGGGAGATTTTGGGGTGAAAAGTGCTGTATTAAATGCAAATTTTGTTTAATTTTTCTGAAAATGATGAGTTATTGCTCAGAAAGACTTCCATTTCAGAAAGCATTAATTTAAGCTGATCCCCAGAAAGCTTTCACATCCGAGTCTTTGGTATGCATGCGGCAGTGTTGTCTGGCTCTTCTCATGTCTGCTTTGCGGCACATGTGAAATTAGTTTAATGGTCTTGGTGCATTCTTGTTGCTATCTTTCTTGGCAGTGTTATGAGCTGAAATGTACGGGGTTGGATGGATCATGGAGTGAATTAACTTGGCAGCCCTTTTGCTAGAACTTCTTGTATCATGATGCAGTTAGGAGAGCATGGTGTATCCTGTTCAAGGATAAATGGAGCTCTCTGTGGTTTGATTTCAGTCTTTTTTACACATTGTTGTGAGTTTTTAGTCTACTCAATTTTACATATATAGACAGTGAAGGAACCTGGGATGTTCCTTGCTCTGGAAGGACCAGAGCTCTACAATTCCTGTTACCACACCAGCTGTCCTGCAATCAGGCTAAGATACCTGATGTATTGAAAATCCTTGCTCAGAAATACAGCTCATTCAGTAATCTGTAAACTTTGTCACAAAACCAAGACGAAATGGTGACATATGTGAAGCGGGTAATTAGCAGTATGTTTCTGAGAGTTGAGAGAAGTCATTTTGCGCTCATGCAAATACGCCTGTACAAGCAGTTTTTGTACAGCCTGTCTTTACACTTTGCCACTTGTGAGTTGATACATCTGAAGTAAACACACAGTTCAGTGCTTGCAAGATGTTGCAAAGATCAGTTGCAAAAAGAATAATATCCTTTCACAACAATCACTTATTATGTTACGTTATTGTAGATGCACCCTGACAGTACACATTTAGCCATTCTTTTAATGCTCAGTGATAATTAGGGTTTAATAGTCTAGGGATAATTACCTTGGAAGGAGATCCAGGTAGGCAGTTGTCATTCCTGGCTGTTGCCACCCATGCTCCATTCACCTGTGCAGTGAACCAGATGAGGGAAATGATGTGGGTTAAAATTAACCTTGGGAATAACAGCATTTATTAACATGGTAGAAGACATTGGAGTCAGAGGGGCTTTAGCTAGAAACAACAGTACATAAAGGGCCATGAGCCATCAGATCTCATGTATATAGGAAAGTACTTTCATGTGACTTGGTGCATGGGGGACAGCAGAACAAGGGCCTGGACGTTCCAGAGATATTTTTGATTTGTATTCTGCTGAATCTCAGGGAAAACAACAGCTTTCTCTTGTCCTGGAACATATGTGCATTTATAAACGCTTTATTTGTCTAAGGTTAATTGCCCATGAATTTGAAAAACCTTTTGTAGACATTAAGATGTTTCTAGTTTGTCATCCTATGTTTGTGTGTACTGACTCACTGAACTGCTGGATTTTGTGGCACAGTATCATAAAAGACAGCTGACCTGTTGCCAATTAGTTCAGAGTTAATTTCCCCATATCACTGTATTCATACAGAATATTTCCTGGAAAGATTAGTAGAAGTCTTCACTGGAAGTATCTGCACTGCAAGTAACTGGAGGTATTAATAGTTTGAAAAAGAAAACAGTAATGAGATGCAGCATTTTTTGTTGATCTCTGTTAATATCCATAAAAGTAATGTGTTAACAGTTGATGATTTTTTTTAAAAATACTTTTGGATAAATTATTGATGTTTAGTTAGCCATTTTGAATGACAAATTTGCATCTATGTTTCTTTCCCTGTTTGTTGTATTTTTGTTATTGTTCATCTGGTTTTGTTTCAGTGTCCTCCAGGAATGAAACAACAAGTTTTGGCTTTTTATACAAAACTTCTTGGAAGAATACGACAACCTCTTCTTCCCCACATAAATGTGCATAGGCCAGTGCAGGTACTGTTCAAATTTTAAATAAACTATATTTTTGCATGACAAATTTCTCTTATTCTTCTGTAGCTAATGGTATCTTCAGTTCTTCCGTTGTCAAGTAAGTTAAAGAAACCACTCGGGTGCAATATAAGTTTTAATGTATTGATGATTAGAGCCTTAAACTGCCCCTGCAATGCAAGTCATAAAGAAATCTTTTTCACCGCAATCTAAAGCTAATATTCAAGTCAATAATCATACATCATTGTAGTATGCATATATAAAAAGAATTCAGTCTGTCATTCCTAGAAAAAGCTATAACTTTGTGTCTTAACTGTTTGCTTTTCTTTATGTGGCAGAAATTAATCAGACTGTGTGGTGAAGTTCTGGCAACACCAACAGAAAATGAGGAAATTCAATTTCTCTGTATAGTGTGTGCAAAGCTGAAACAGGATCCATACCTGGTCAACTTCTTCCTCGAGGTGAGTAAATCATATCAAAATTTTCTAGGTGTATTTACTGTGTCACAGACAAAATCTAATATAGAATTGGAGGTACCGCCTCGTGCTTCATAGCTTAGTTTTCATTCACTCTGTGATTTTCTTCCTGTGATATTAGAAGTATTTTTTTTGTTTCCAGAGACTTGATTATTTTTGCTAGAAATTCATTCAGGGCTTACAAATATACCTGCCTGGAGTCCTTATGCTTTGCAGTGAAAGTGCCTTTAGAGTAGGGATAGGAGTGGTAATATAGAACGCTGTGTGAGGGAGACCTTGGATTTCTTATGTTCTTTTTTCTTCAGCCCAATAAAGACTATGGGACAGATTGCATGGAGCATTGAAACCTTGCAAGTTGCTAAGTGTTCTGCAGGATTGGGCCCTTATTTGGTAGTGGCACATATGGTCTAGCTGCAGTGCCAGCTCACAATCTACAATATGACATTATTTTCCATCTGTAAGAAGCCAAATATCTTTACTCCCTCTTCGAACTTAACATGTGGCATTGATGAAATCAGAGTGGGAGGAGAAAGAATTTCTAGACTGACTTTCTGTTCCCATTTAGAAGGAGCATATGAAAGTTTAATTTATAAAAGTCCATTTAGAAATGCCTGCTGCTCCCACTTTGGTGTTTCCTATGATGACACAGTGTCTTTTAACCGTATGATACATAGGTGAAAAGATGTAGATACAGTGTCCTCCAGGGATATTTTACAAGCTTTCTGCAAACAAGATCTCTAACAGCAGAGGCTGCTCAACTGCAAAGATACATTATTTTCCATTGAGTATATGAATATCACTTTTAAGTCAGTAGGAAAGAATCCATCTTGAGTTTATTTTTACCTTAATTAAATAGCACCCTGATTGCCATTGTATTCGCTGTAGTTGTACGAGCAATAGAAAAGGTGTAAGGCTTGAAAAGTTAGTGTATAAACATTAGAAGCACGCAGAAGCAAAACTAGTAGATACATTACACACAGAATATGGTAGAAGTCCAAACCAGGATTACTTTTAATGTCAATAGCAACATTACTATACCATCAGACATGGAAAACCAGATGATTCCAAATTTCAAAGAGATCTCTAGTTTCACCAAATACTGGCTATAGAGTTCAGACAAGTTGAAGAACATTTCTTGTAGCTCCTGTTTCCTTCACAACATTATTCTAAATGTTGTAGCCTAATGTATATGTCTTCACAACTTTTGATAGTTGTTTCTTGATAAGGTATTTGGGGTGTAGAATTCTCCTGTATTGGAATAGAATATTCTCGTTGTTCACATCTATGCCTCTTAGAGGTGCTATTGTTGTAACTTGATAGCTGTTTCTGGCCTTCAAATGCTTGAAGGGGTAAATGTACAGAATTCTGTGTGGCATTTCTCTCTCAAATCTTCAACACCTATAAACTGAAATGCAGATGGCTCTCTCCAAAGCAGTCTGTTTGTATCTGGTAGTTTTGCTTCCTTCCTTGACTTTTCCTGATCAGTTTCTACAGTAGTTTATGAATGTAAAAAACTTGAGTATGTACAAACCCAGGGTTTCCTTTGTGTGATTCCATACCAAGTAGTTTGTTGGTAGAATCTTTCACCTATATTGCTTAACCGATAAGGATATATGGCATGACTGCATCTCCTGGGCAAGTTACTTTTGTTGTGGAAAGAAGAACTGGAAGAGCTGCATTCTACTTTTTTAAACGTTTAAAATCCATATACTATTTTATTTTTACTTCAATTTATTCTTATCTTTAAATCAAGTTTTCCTTGTTCTTGTGTAGAAAGAACATACATAGGAATGTTTGACTTATCACCTCTATCTCATTATTTTATGCTAAACTTGTTACCTCATGTTTTTCCGTATTCATTTATTCCTTAGTTGCACCATCTCATCCTTAGAAACTTAGTTTCATCTCATCTCATCATCCCATCTTAACACGAGATACTCCCTGCAACTGATTATTCCATGCAAAGGGATGGTTGATTATCTGTGTTTGGCTTCTCCTGTTGAGACCTTAAAGAAGTTCTAAAATAGCATCCATTAAAAAGTTGTACCTTCATTTTATAAAAATGAACAATAGTTTCATTATTCACTTCTACTTTCAATACTACAAATTACCAGTTTCGTATTTCTCATTATGAATTAAGTAGGGATTCTCATTAGCTGTGATATCACTTGATTTTTTTACAGAATTATTTTTAAATGTATCTGAACTTAGACATGGCATCATCCAACACAGATTTAAAAACTCTGATAACTACATATCACAAAGATATTAAAATGTATATTGTCTGCTCTCTGTTGATGCTGAATTCACTGAGAGGAGTGTTTTGTCTTCAAAGAGTTGAATGTGTGTTTTATGTAACCTTTTCTATTAGGTCATTCAGGATCCTGTTTTGCACCTTTACAGGAGGCAGGTGAGCAGCTGAGCTGCAGAATTGCATGATCAGGCAATAAGAAGCCTAAATACACGCCAAAACTCTGCCTATGTGTTGTTCAATGTACAGACTGCTTTGTGGCACCAGCCAGTGTAAGACTAATAAGCTATGGACAAATTTCTAGGGCATTTATAAATTTATATATGTTAGGTTTTCTCTTCCATGCCTTAGCTAAACAAACTATGGCCTTTCAAATGACAGAAGAGTTCAGACATGAGGTGATAGGGTGGTGTAAGATAAAATAAGTATTTTACAAAATATTATCTAATTTTTGAATAAAGTAGCTTTTCTCTTTGGCAACCCTGCCTGCTACTTGAGTAGTGCCAGCACCAGTGAATAATCCAGGACTGAAAGGCAGTTCCAGCCTTTAGTTCTGGCTCATCTTTGTGATTCCCATGTATTGATAAAATATATGGGAGGATACTGGAGGACTTTAGAAGATTCAGGCACAGGCAGATATGGTTGAGACAGACACATTTTGGTTGCTTTTGCAGCCTTATGCATTTCATACTATAAAAACCATCTATATGTTGAAAGAGTAATTTTTCTACTGTAGTTAAATATCATACTTATTTTATAGCATGCAGTGTGCTGCTTTTACCACTGGTTTGGCTCTCCAGGGAACTGGGTATGTGAGTGTATCACAGTGTTCAGTACAAATTCTCCACAAAGAATGCACATCAATCAAGCGAGCATTCACAGCAGTTCTCTAGTTTGCTGCCTGAGACTGTTGTGCAGTTAGTCCCTGCTGTTTGTATGCACTAAATGCCATTAACCCCAAATGGTTTAAATTATTAATGCTTAAGATATATTTGTAATAATTTTGGTGTTATCATAAAGAAGGGGAACCATTTGGATGTATAATCTCACTACTATACTCGCTTGAAAAAATGTCTGGTTCTGAAGTCTGATTTATGGTTCTAATAAAGTGTTACTCACTTGTGCTTATGCCAGGCGGACACTGAATTCTTGCCTTGCTGTGAGTTTCTTCTTGGTGTCACAGAGCACAAATTTAAATGTCTTTTTATGTCTGGAGACAGATTTATGGGAAGACAGATGGGTTGCTTTTTTTCAGGTTAAGTAGAGATGCTTTGTAGCTTCCGAGAAGGTTCTCTGTGATCTGTTATAGTATCCAGTGCCCAATGCTAACTTCTAGTATCTTCTGTCCTTTCAATCTACCCAACTTTTTCTTCATGAGAAACAATTTGAGAGTACTCTGCTGTCATAAAAGATGGTTTTTTCCCTTTCCTGTTGAAGATAAGATCTCAAGGAGTTTAGAATGAGTTTGATTGTATGACTCCAACTGGAAACAGTGTTTCAAGATGTTAGATGAATTTGAGGTCTTGACCTAGAAAGGGATGTTTATGGGTGCACTTATAAGGTAAATGAAAAACTTCTATCAAATAGTGGGAAATCAAGTGAATTATATGCCTTCATTGGTGGGCAGAGAAAGACGCCACCTATTTGTAAAAAGGGCATATTCAGCCTTGAAGCAAAATGGTACAGGGCTTAAGAGAAATTTAAGCAGATTAAAAAATGCTCTAGGTTTAAAAACTCCCGTGCTCCCACAACCCATTACACTCTACATGGTTACTGTATCAAGCCTTGTACAGAACTACTTCAAATGCTGATGTAAACAGTTTGCTTTTAGTAAATTTCTGCTTCAGGATGAACAGTAATTTCAGTTTTGTAATTCCAATAAAATACTTTGCAGAATAAGTTAAAAGCAATGGCTTCCAAAGGATCAGCAAGTGTAATCACAGAAGACATGCTAAAAGGCCAAGATTTGTTGACAACAGACACAGAGCAGGCAGTTCAGCCCGAAGAGATACCCAGTGGTGCTGGAGCGGAGCAAATGGAGAAGGAAGATGACCTGCTGCAACAGGCAGATGATCTCTCTTTCAGTCTGGATGAACTGAATGTCACATCATCACCTGAGTCCTCCACTGTTTGTCCAAATCAAGACTATAATTTAGTGAACTCTCTACTAAACCTCACTAAAAGTCCTGTGAGTTGTGTTTTTTGTTCTGTTTAATGTGATAAAATGAAATAGTTTGGATGCTGTGTGAAGTGGGCAGAGGGAGTGAATATACATGTGTGTACACGCTTTATTTCAGCTATAAAAAGTAAAATGAGGTTTTGCAGGCAGTTTTTGTAAATTGGCAATTTTCTTTGCCAGTTCAGATTAAAGTCAAAATACTATTTTAGAAAATTAATATTAGGTTTGTTGATGGTATGTAGGTGTTTTTTGAGCAATTTATATAGGATGCTAGATGTTTCACAGACAAGCTACACAGGATAATCATTAGGTTAAATATACCACAAGGGAATATTTTAAAAACTACTTTTGATTGTACCGACTTAACCAAACCCACTTTTTTTTTGTAAAGGCACTGGGCTATTTCTAGGGGTTTGATTTTTAAAAAAAAAACAAGTGCTGTATGTCTTACCCAGCTCCATCCTCGAATTCATACTCAGATTCTTTCAGAAAACTTAAGAGGACGGCTGGTTAAGCCTGTAATTGCTACAACAGCATTGAGAGCAGAAAACTGCATCTACCGATGTACCTTGTTGTTAAGTGATAGTTTACATTGTCTAATCTTTTGGTCTTAAGCTGACCTACAGCACTAGTTCTGTCAACCTGAAGGTTACAGTTGCATTCTTAGTATTTGACATGGATTCAGGTGAGATTCTTTATTTTGTACTGTCCAAATTCAGGAGAAATAAGCTGAAGTTACTGGAAAGGCAACAAAAATAAATGCATTCATACACTGTGGCGGAATGGAGAGGCTTTATCTGGGATATGTTTTCTTCTTGATTTCAAGTGAGCTTCCTTCACCCTCTGACTAATTCTTCCATGCCCTTCTGCCAGGACGGCCGGATAGCGGTGAAGGCCTGCGAAGGCCTCATGCTTTTGGTGAGTTTGCCAGAACCAGCAGCCGCCAAGTGCCTGACTCAAAACACTTGTTTATGTGAACTGTTGACAGACAGGCTGGCCACCCTCTACAAAGCCCTTCCTCAGTCACTGGATCCCTTGGACATTGAAACAGTGGAGGCAATTAACTGGGGGTAAGAATTTTATTTTAGTATTTAATACCCAGAGTGACTTTACACCCCTCCCTGAAACTAATTTTCTGTAGGTAGATAAGATGTATAAAATACTCACACCCCCATACTAGAGCCTTGAGAGCAGAACTGAGATCCCAGCTGCAGCACAGTGGTACGACTTCGGGTGTCCAAAATACGTGTGATTTATGACATAGGGCCAGGTTTGGCTGCCAGTCCCTTGCAAAAATTCCTCAGGAGGCAAGTTTTTCCATTGAATTACGTTAGCAATTTGTGGTGGTGTAGCTGCAGTATCAGGTACAAATTATTTTCTTGTTCAGATGTTAAGGATTTAGGAATCAAACTTTTCACTGTACACAGAGAGCACTGTGTTCTCCTGCAGGGGGCAGGAAGGATGTCTTTGTAAACAGGCTGTTGTTGCAAAATTTTTTCAGTAAAAAAAGAAGAAGGAAAGAGTTACTGCATAATTCATCAGCATGAAGCAAAAGATACATGCTTGCTATCCTAACTGCTTGCATGTTAGATTTTCAAAACATTTGTCTTCTCCACTCTGCCTTCATTATTATGAATTGCTCGTGTTCTGTTAGTTCTGAGACATAAGTAGGCATATGCAAAATAAGTACCAAAATTTCTGGTAGTTGGAGTTTGAAGTTAAAAGGGAAAAAACCACAACTTTGAATACTGGATAAATAAGTATTCTACTGCTTTACCAAAGAAAATTGTGAATTTGTTATTCCATAGAGCCTTTAAATTGAGATAGATGTTTTTTTTCTGAAAGATGCAATCTAGTTCAGGTATACACGGTGGTTTTGGTAGACTTGATTGAGGTCACTTACAGAGTAGAGAAGAACAATTGCCTTCATTTTATGGTTCTCTGACTACAGGAGTTATTGATTCCATTTCTGTGGTCTGTGTTTCCTGGGAGAACAGTTTAGGTCATCAGTTTTCTCTTCTGACTCAAAAAATACTTAACCAGAGTTCTGCTGTACATGCTACGTATCCTTTAGCATGCCACTGAAAACCTGTGTAGTAATAGCACTGCCAGATTAGTAGAGACCAGCAGAAAAGCTATTTTAACTTTCATTTTGTTGCAAGCAGAACATTAATTATTCTGTTAAGTTCAGTAAGAATAAAGTCCAAGATTCTTCAATTACTTGTAGACTGAATAAGTATTTTTCCCTGTGTTCCTTAGTTTGGATTCCTATAGCCACAAAGAAGATGCATCTGCTTTTCCAGGGAAAAGGGCGTTGATTTCGTTCCTTTCGTGGTTTGACTACTGTGATCAACTCATCAAAGAAGCACAAAAGGTTTGAAATGTTTACAGATGATACAAATATATTCAGCAAATAAGTAGTTCAATTGTTTCTTAGCTTTTGAGTTTGAGACATACCATTTTGTACTTTTGTTTCAGACTGCTGCTGTTGCTATGGCAAAAGCTGTGCGGGAGCGATTTTTCGTTGATGTTATGGAACCCCAGCTGATGCAAACGTGAGTAGCATCGCACAAGAACAGAATCTGAATCAAGCTGATTTTTTTTCAGCTGAAATCCACTACAAACCTGACATGAAATTTTTTGTTCAGTTCAGAGATGGGAATCCTCACATCAACTGCACTATTGCATCGCATTGTGCGTCAAGTGACTTCAGATGTCTTGCTGCAGGAAATAGTTTATTTTATACTTGGAGACCACAGAGAGCCAGAAACTTTAACAGATATCAACAGACATCCGTTGCGACACAGGTTGATTGAACACTGTGATCATATTTCTGATGAGGTGAGAAGTGGTAATGATATAATAATGTCTGCTGGCCAGTTCTGTCTTGCACAGAGTCTGTAAAAACTTGTGAGGTCTTCTCATATTTGTGTCAGATAACTCTTTTTTGCCAAGGAAAAGAGTCCTGACTGCCAGCTCTACAAATTCCCTTTGGAAATTGAAAGTCAAGCTAGCACATTAATAAACATTCTTTGCTAAATTTGCTCGTCCCCTGTGCATATCTAGTTGTGCTTGCTCCTCTGTAAGATACAGCAAAATCAGTTTCTGTAATTGCATTTTAATTCATGCTTTGTTATATGTTGCATCACTGTTATTTTCCATGTTGTGTCAATTCTGCCATGTTATCACATAACCTTAAAAACTTAGTATTTTTTATATAAAGTAACTGTGGTCAGAGAATGTACACAATACCAATTAAAAGTTATAACTTTAAGCACTTTACACACAGTAAATGTCGTTAAAATAATTGACTTCAGTAAAATCACTCCTCAGGAGCTGCCTGTTTCATTTTTTTTCTGTGAAACAACCTCCAGCCTCTACTTTTTCAAATAAAAACCAAGCTTGCCTGAAATACAGATCTATGCCTTCACATAGGTATTTTTTTCAGCATGCTTACCTGCTCACCCTGTCAAATTGGGTTATCTGTATAAATTAGTTGATCTTCGCAAAGCTAAGCACTCTAAAGCTATCTTTAAAAACTGTCTCTGTATTGCTTCAGTCTCCTTTTAAAAGCCTACATAATCTGTCAATGTAGAAATATTAGCCTATGGTTCTAGACACAGTATCCCAGTATTACTTTATTATATTCTGGGTATTTATTAATATGTCCCGTTCTGTGTCTCACTTGCACAATGATAACCATCTTCCACCGTGGATCTGATTGTAATATGGAAATCTAAGTTGTAAGTTCTCTGGATGTTCTTTATATTGTTGTCAGTTTTTAGAACAATTTTTGTTTTACAGGGAGAAAATACAGCCATATATTGGTTTTCAAATATGTGTGAAGTCTTCATACATGTTTATGCTACATTCAGCATAACAATTTCCTAGTTTTTCTTAGGATTTCTGCTTCCTTCCTAATCTAAATAAGTATTTGCAATGTTCTAGGGTGTATAAATGAGATACAAGGCAAAGAGCAGGCAGTGATGCATCGGTTTATTGAATTTTTACCTTTTATATTGCAGATCAGCATAATGACTTTACGAATGTTTGAGCACCTTTTGCAAAAACCAAATGAGCACATTCTTTATAATTTGGTTCTGAGAAATTTAGAAGAAAGAAACTATACGGAATACAAGCCTTTCTGTCAAGAAGATAAAGATGTGGTAGAGAACGGACAGATTGCAGGAGCAGTGTAAGTTTCTTTTCTAAGAGAAGTCTTCACAACAGCTAACTTGGATCCTTATTTTTAGAACAAAACAGGATTTTTTTTCAGCAATTGAAAGAAAAGTGAGCATAGGTAGCACTTTGAGTGCTCTATGTATTATCTGTATCCATAAAGTGATGCAGAAACTCCTATATCAGCAAATTATGGCGATTTTTAGAACAGTAACAGAAAAGCTAAAATTATCAAAAGACTCCTTCCGGAACAGTAGGCTCTCAAAGGTCTTCATTTATCAGTTTACTTATGCATCTGCCTAGCTTAAGTCTATGCATATTTGTGTTGTTTTCAGTGATTATTCTTGAAATCAATCACCTCGTTGTCTTGCTTACGTTTATGTTCTTGAATATTTTTTGATGGAAGAACTTTTCTGGGACACTTTACATGAAATGTTTTTGGGTACCCTACGTAACTCATGTAACTCTTATTTTTGCTGATGGGGGCTTAAGGACTAGTCACACCAGCTATCTGAGTCATCTTAATTTAAATGTTTCTGAGTCATCTAAAATAATCTAATGATTTCCTGGAGTATAACTCTCTCTCATGTAAAAAATGTGTCTGAAGAGTTTAAGTGATTTAATGCAGTGAATTTGTATGAGTCAAAAATGTCTACTCTGTTGTTCAGGTCCAAGAAGTTATGATATTTTTTCAAAACAAAGTTTGTTGGGTATTTGAAAAGTTTGTTATTGCTGCCTATCAATGAGGTAAAAAGGCGTACATATGATAGTGTTCTGGAAAACATCCTACTTGTTCAGAGAAGAAAAATAGAAAGCATGCCTTTTGACCCAGAGATTTTCCTGCCTTATATAACATTCTGTGAATTATTGTTTTTGTCTAATACAATCTCACAGAGACCTAGAGGAAGATCCATTATTTACGGATCTGTCTCCAGATAACACATTGTCAACTCAAGAGTGGCTCAGTGCTTCTCCACCTGTCAGTCCAGAACATTCAAAAAATGATGGGAAGACTGAAGTTCATAAAATTGTAAATAGGTGAGTTGAAACAAACACTTAAAGAAGTCTCTGAATGTGTGGGTGTCTGCACACACTGTGCAAATTAAATGTACTCTGTAATGCTGTAATGGATGTTATTCTGTGCCAGCTGGTAAAATGACTCCACAGAAGGAAATTATGTGGCATTTTATCAGAAAGCTACTCCTGACAGATTAGAGCTTACAATAAGTAAAAATAATTTAATATAAATGAGAAAATAGAAGAACTTTGCAGCTAATAATCTAACTGAATACTCAGAATCCATCCTCATTGATTATTAAACTTTATTTTCTCAAAAATATTCGTTATTTTTAAACTGCTGTTACAGGACTTGACCTTCCTGGAGAAGTCTGGGGAGTCTTGGTATAAACATTTTAGTGGAAAAAACCCTCAAACTTCCTAAAGTTCCTTAAACATGTACATAAAAGGAAATAATTGCCATGCTAGAGATAACCTTCTGTTCCTTGAAAATCAAGGGGCATCTCTGTCACCTGTAACATACCTTAGTGCACGTTAGACGTACTGCAAATTGGATATCACAAGGAGGACAGGCTCTGCTCTAAGCAACTTAGTGAAGGTAATTCTCTTAGCAACTAGTATTAGGACAAATGCTGTTTGCTCTGTTAATACACAGCAGCAAAGCAGCACTGGTATTTCAGTGCTGACCTGTCTGCTTACCCAGAAATAATCAAAGGAGTTAGCCAAAGGAAGCAAACAGCCTGAGGACAGCCGGCATAGAACGGCACAGTCACTTCTTGCCCTCTTTCCCCCAGTCGTGCTATATATAGTTTGTGGTGGACATGGCTTGGAGCAAAGACGCAAAGAGCAGTCTCTTAAATTCACCTCCTATAACCTCCATAAGTGAATAGAAATGTTGTCAGGATTTGCAGCGTTTTGCAACTTTTTGTATTTTTTCAGATAAGATGAGCACCATACAAAAGTCGGCTACTATATATTTCTGTGTATAAATCTTACAGGAGCCTCCAACAGTTCTTGGGGTATGGAGAAGGCTGAAATTTGGAAACAGGGTCCAAAGACTGAGTTTTGGTTTGCTGTCCAGAAATTTTAGGCCTTTGTATTTATTTTTTAAAGACAGACAGTTCCTCTCTAATAAGATTCAGAATTTCCTGATGCTTTTGAGGTCAGATATTGGTGAAGTAATAAGTATTTGCACTACACACCTGGCAAAGGCAATGATATTTGTAACTTGGACATTTACATGCAAATATTCCTGTGTTCTTAGATGTTCATTTTTTACCACAACAAACTATGGTAAATAAACCTGCCTGTGCAGTAGGTTAAGAAGAATTTTAACTAATTCTCTTTCTCTTTTGGCTCATTTATTCCCCTGTGAATTTTTCATATGCTGTAGTAAGATGGAGCCTGACCTTTAGCAAATACTTGACCTGGTTTTGAATATTCCTTTTCATCTCCATTATGTCTAATTCTCAGGAAATGCTTCCATTGAGGTTTTTACCTGTAGTGCTAGATACAAAAATTCTGAGGTATATATCTTGTTATTACGAACAGTAGTTAGAATAGATGTGCTTAAATAGATTTTGTATTTTCTGCTCTTCACATAAGTTATGGTAGAATGGTGGATTTATTGGCCAGGCAATTCAGTATTGTGTACACTGTTACACATGAGGAGACAGTATTGATCTGGTGCTCTGTGGGTTGTAGGTATTCATTAATGTGCTTTTTTTTTCTCTTTAGTTTTCTCTGTCTTGTACCTGATGAAGCTAAGTCATCATACCATGTGGAGGGTACAGGGTACGATACTTACCTCAGAGATGCCCACAGACAAGTAAGTCAGTGAAGCCTTCCTTAGTCCTTAAGAATTTGAAATGCTTATGAGAGTATACAACTGGTTCTATAAATAGTCCTACTAAATGCATCTTTTGGTAATGGAAGATGGGAAAATTCAATTTTTACTTTCTAATGAAAACTTACCTTTGGAGATATTTTCATGGTGAATCCACCTCGTATTGCTCTAATGGGAATAATGGATGGCATTAAATGCATTAATATTCGTATAACAAATAAACTGAGAGAAAATCTGAACTGCTGATAGATTCTTAATTTGCTTTTGCATTTATCTGCATTCTGTTGGAGAATTGCCTGCCAAGCTGTTTGAAAGGACTAAAGGGAAATTAAAATGCTGCATAGGAGTTATGCAATCTGGGACTTCAAAAATAAAAGCTTATCACAGGGAATGCACAGCCTAAGGCATTCAGGTTTGAAGTTGTGAGGTTTTGTAGGTAGGGAAAGCTTTATGATTTACTGTTTTGAAGTAAATGCAGTTTTTGTTTTTACAAACATAATCTAAAGTTTCCTTTGTCAGAGGACAATTGCTGTGTATTTGCAGCTTTCTTATTGAAGCACTGTGAATCTTCTAGAATGGAAAAATTTATGCAAAGGAGTAGAGTAACTGGGAGAGCTATATTTAGTAGGTACTTCAAAAATTCCATAACCGCTGAATTATGATATCAGCAGTTTAAGATGGGAAGCTTGGATTTCTGTATTTATTATATTGTTGTATCTGTAGTCTCTCCTGAAAAGAAAGGGAATAGAAAACAGAGAATAAGGAAACAAAGGCTGATGTAAAATTCCCCTATGTTCTATCCTTGGATGCCAGAAAACACATATCATCTTTGTATTTCTTTCATGCCTTGGGAAAAAGAGTATTCTGGGAACTATTAGAGAACAGAATTGGTTTCTGTCGCTTCCTGACAATGATATGGCTACTCTTAAAATATTTCCCCCCTAAGAATAGCCCTGCCTATTGCTGTTATTACATCCAAATAGCTCTTCTGCTTCTGTATTTCTACTCCTGGAAGCCTGCACAAGTAAGTAAGCTACATGCAGTGAAGAATTTCTGAGTCTGTTTTGTCTCTCTTTCGCTACTGTTTATTCCTGTGTTCCTTATTCTCACTGCTATAACCTGTGCTCCTTTCAGGGTATAATTCCATGAAAGTGAGACATCAGGCAGCCCATAGCAAATACGAGGCAGAGGCAGAGAGTGAGGAAGACTGTTACGGGTGGTAGGAAACAAAGAGAGGGAAGAGGAAGCATGAAATATTTTTTTTATTTGTATCTCCTGCATATACACATGCCTCTCCTGTGCTGGGAATTAGGGAGCAATATAGATTGGACAACAAGATAAGCTACACATTATACAGTGAAAGTGTGGTAGTGTACTGACAAAAGAAAGCATACGAATGCAATTCCTGCTTTAGAAGAACCCTGATCAAGATGTGTACTGTTGGCTTTGTTTTGTGTTTTGACCCCAGCTGCTTTTTTTCTGTTCTCCACTCATTGTTTCTGAAACTACCCATTTAGCTACAGATTATGATTTTAAGGTGTATGGACTATTAAATGGTTTCCATGGAGGTTTGAGTCTCTTTTTCTCGCTATTCTGTTCTAGTTCCGGGATTACTGTGTCATCTGTTTACGGTGGGAGTGGCCTGGATCTCCCAGACCTTTGGAAAAGTGCAATTTAGAAGCATCATTTTTTGAAGGACACTTTTTGAAAGTCCTGTTTGAAAGAATGGGCAGGATTCTTGATCAGGTAAGAAAAAGCAGGTTATGAGTTCTGTTTCTGGTGCTTTCATCACAACTAAAGGGCTAATCACCATAAGGTCCCATGTGTTCTCATCACTCAGATCTCTATTATAGCTTCATATTATTGTGTAATGTCCCATGTCGTTGGTGGAGGTCTCTGTAGATTGCAGGATATTATAGTGATCGGTATTATCAATTTAACAAAAGCAGAGAACAAAAACTCTCTTATCTTTGTTAGCCACCTTTTTGTGTACTAAATGTTTTCTTGACCAGAAATATAATTTAAATTGATAAGAAAAGAATATCCTTAAGATAAAAGATGAGGGTAAGACAGTATCAGGAATCCTTCAGCACTAGCATCACTGGTTCCGTTTTCGTTTTCTAGCATTTACACTTAGAAAGCATGTACATTTTTCAGTAAATAAAATACTGTACAGCTCCGTTCTGCCATATTTCAGTGAACTTCAGTCTGAAGTCTTGTTCAGGAAGCAATGTACATCACTGTGTAGGATGAAAGCAACTTAGTGTATCACTGCTAACATTTCCCCCATTTTTTCACTGTTAAACTGTTATCAGTGCATGGAAAGTTTATAGAAGGTATCCTTTTCCATCTGCAATGTAAAGTAGTTTTTTTCCTGTTTGATTATCTTCAAATAGTAAAAGTACAGCTGCCAAGGGCAAACAAATGAGATGTGATCTGAGTGAGTCCTTGTTCTGAAAAGCAGGTGTGACTTGTCAGACCCAGATTAGTACAAAGGAATTTAAAGGCAGCGAATTTTCCTGATGTGTGTTTGTTTCTGTATCTAGCCAGCCTGCATGACCTATTCTGAAGAGAAGTGAAGTGAAGGCTTAGGGAGGTGAAAAGGAGGTTGCCCTGTGTGAATACTTAATGTTTCTTTGCCTTCTCTAAACTCTGGACTTGTTAGTCAAGTCAATGTTGCTGCTTTAGATCAAGAAGATAACTTTTCTTGCCAGTGAAAATGAGCCCTGAAAGCCTAGATTACCCTCTCTGTAATACCAGCTGGAGTTGCTAAAAAAGCAGTAGTACCAGTTTTGGAAGTTTGTACAATTCTTTTCTGTTTCGAATGTGGGGCTATCTACAGAATAAACAATTAGCTGTGGTGGTGCCAGTTTTCCACAAGAGTCCTTTGAACATATAAATGCGTAGGAAACATGGCGGGAAGCCTGTAGTAGCCTCAAGGTCAGCTCTGTGAGTGTTCAGGGGAGAAGGTTGTTTGAGAGTACCATTTTTTATAATTCAGAAAAGAAAGCCAAATGCTTCCATTGCTGTATTGTGTGTTCTCAGGGGTTTGCTTCCAGTAAACACTTCACTAGTTGAAATGGTTATAGATTGGAGTCAAGAAGAAATCTGGGCATCATCAGCTCTTAGGAAAAACAAGACTCATGGATATGAAAACCTTGTCTGAGCAATGACACATGAATTATAAAAAGTAAAGAACCCAAGTTACATCCCCCGAGAAACACCTGAGTGTCAGATACATATGATTACAACAAAAATAGCATCTGGTATGGAAGCACAGTGCCCATTTTGATATACTACCTGTCAGCATGACACACATGTGGGTTAGTCAAGCAAAGTGTTACGATCTGTGGTGTCAAAAATGGTTCTTGACTCCAGAAGAATTAAAATGAACTGCCTGAATCAGACAGCAGGGTTAAATTCTTATTATAACCCAACACATCCCTGTCCTAGGAACCAAACTGAAATTCCTAGGGGTTATTCACAGTGAAGCACATAAATCACATAGAAAAAAACCCAAAACAAGAAAACCTGCCTCCTGACTATGACAAATTTGATATAGTGGGTTCTGATGTCCAGACAAAGTGAAAAATGTTGAAAAGCCTTTAGTGGGGACACAGTACTGCTTACAGATTATGTTAAATGTCTTTTTTGTTTTGTCACAATACTATACTTTTATCAGTTTTTAGCAGTAGATATCAGAAAAGTTTGTAGAGGTGGTAGATATCCTTAACGTAGTTTTTGACAGGAGATAGCTGGGGCACAGAAGTCAAGTAGCTTGTTTCAAGGCTGCTCAAGTCCAGTACCTCATCTGCTGTTATACATCTCTGTGGAATTGACTGTTTCCTAAGAATTTTGTAAGAACTTCCTGAACTGCAGATTTTGCTGGTTTTAACCTTTTTAGTTATAGAGAAATTTTTAGGATGTTATGTGATATGAGGCTGTCTTACTGAGTCTGCTGACATATGGACAGAAATAAAAGCTCTGTGTGAAGAAGCAGCTTTCCTTAATGCTCTCAATTAGTTCAAATAGCAACAGCAATCTGTCTGAATAATGCAGCACGTGTTTCTACTTTGTTTCCTTCTCTTCTTGTGAACATCAGATAATGCTCATGGCTTCAAAGCTTCCTAATGAATTGACTGACTTTGACAACTCTGAAGACCTTCTCCTACAGTTCAGCTAGGTAGACAGTGGAGTGGATTTATGGAAGGAATTTGTGCCTCTCTCTGCAGAGTAACTTTTCCACAATAACTGAAAATGTAGCGATCTCTTTTTACCTGTAACATCTCATTTGTTAGAAGATTGGGATGAATCTGTTGCTGGAATATCACATAGAGAAATAACTGCTACAGACTGGGAGAAATATGTGCTTTCATTTTAAAAGATCTATAAGACAACTCCCTTTGCAGTGCAACAGTGTGTGGTAATGAATTCAGGAATAACCTAAATATTAGTTAGGTGTCCACATCTAGTCAGTGGAAATTTTGACCAAATAGCCCTGGTAGTCTCTGGAGCTGTTAGACTGAAATTTTAGTGCAAAATTAATCACTTTCTCAGCTTCCTTGACTGTGTTGACTGAAAGCTCGAATCAGTTGCCTTTTTGTGGTGCCACAAGCTTGTGTTTACAATACAGATCTTGCAGGATCCACCCTCTGTGGGACCGTCAGGAGACCAACAGATACTCTTGAGCATCTGAGATGGCACAAGATGTTTGTGTGTAGGCTAGTGTGTATCAAGTGTCAGATCTTTGTTGAGTAGGCTAATGCAAGTTCAGGCATGTAGACACCTCTAAATATATCCGTATTAATGTGAAACTGAATTCTTCCAAATCTTCCAGTCTGGAAAAGGGAAGAATCTGTTCTCTCATTCTTCAGTGGGATGCTAACTTGAGAGCATAAAGATGATAATTTGAGGCCATGAAATCATCCTCTCCTAGATGCAGTTATGCCACTGAGGATGCTAGTGCCAGTACGCAGTCCAAGGGATTGAATGAGGGTTCTGTAATCTACTTCAGGTAAAATCAGTAAGGTTGAGTTAAACCATCTGGGTGTTGGTAACATCTTCAGACTGGCATGGGTGTGTACCAAGGGTATGTCTGCCCATCTCTTGTTAATGTAGTCTGTTCTACCACTGAATAGGTGGAAGGAAATTCCACTGGTTTGCAAATTTTGAGCTGAATTAAAATGTCAGTGTGTTTTCACTGTGATGAGAAAATCAAAGCTGGAAAAAAAGTACTTGTAACATAAAGGAGCTGTGGCGAAAATGCTTGCTTTTCTGGAAATCAGTTTCTCATTGGAATGGTAAAATCCTTTTAGCTAGTCACTGTTTTTTTTTCCAAGAAAGTTAGGTACTAGTTTTTCCTTTTAGCTGATTAGCATCTTCCAGCATCTGACAGTGTTGCCTCTCCCATTTGGCTGAACAAGCTCAGAATTTCATGCTGCTTTCCCAGCCTAGGACTGCCTCATCTCCCTTAGCAAGCTGCCACAAGATGACCACGCCTTCTGCAGTGGTTCTTTACAAGAATAAAGAAAGTAAAATAAGAGAAATACTGTATTAGCCATGAACATAGATCTGTCTTTCTCAGTTTCCTGAGCTCATATACTTCACAGGTATCCAGGAGAAGCAAGCAGGTGTTTAATCTAGGCTGATTCTATGCTATTTGTTTAGCTACTGAGCTGAAGAAATGTTTTACAGGAAGAGGACTTATCCTACAACAAACAAGTGTGCAAAAGCTTCAAGTGGTTGTAGCAGTTATACAGAATAACATCTAATACCTAACTCATATTCACATCACTCCTGTTGTGGAAAGCAGGGGGTTTGGGCCTGTCTTCTAATCTAATTTTTTTGTCTTTATTTATTCATAACCCTGTATAGAAGGTTCTAGCAGTTAAATAAACACTGTCTGGGTGAAAAGAAGCCAGCATGAAACTAAGCACCATGTTTTCCTTTTTTTTTTTTTGTAGCCCTATGATGTAAATTTACAAGTTACATCAGTGTTGTCCAAACTGGCCTTGTTTCCGCATCCTCATATACATGAGTACCTTTTGGATCCTTATGTAAACCTAGCTTCTGGCTGCAGGTCTCTCTTCTCTGTTATTGTCAGGGTGAGTAAACACACAGTTAATATTTACATAAGGCTAAACAGCAGCGATATATTTAGTGACTGTAGTTAGTGGTAGTAGTTGCTGGCTAGTTTAAGTTGGCAAATGGCTTCTCACTGAAAATAGATACTTATGCTCTTGATTTGAGAATCAGTATTATGGATTTTCTACCAAAAACATCAGAAAATGTATTTCCCAGCATTTATTTTCATTCTGCATGTCTTGAAAATTGTTTCTTTCCTTGCTTTAATTGTGTAGATACAAAATATCCCTTCTGGCAACATTATTGCTTTAAACTGGACTAGGTCGTGTTGTTGTCACTTGCAGGCAACGTCAGGTAGTGCTGTAAGAGCTATCCAAGAGATGGCCTGGATGAATATCTCCGCTCACCATCTTTTTTGAAAGTCCCCTTCCTTTCCCTCTCTAATTCCATCTCTTCCTGCCAGACCTGCATCCTAGAAGTGCTGGCTGGGTGCCTGTTGCACTGCCGTCTTCTCAGTCAGAGATCCCTCGTCTGCCCCACACACCAGCTGTTACTAAGCTGGTCAGGAGCCTACTACTGGTGCTTGCCCAATACTAACGAAGGGCTTAGCTCCCTTTTTCCCAGCAGCCCTCACCATTTCAAAATATAATCTTCATTCTCTTCCCTTGTGCTTTCCCTAAACCCAGGAATTTACTGGTCAATTGCTTGCATCAACATTTGCTAACAAATAAATCATTGGCATAATTAAAATAAGTAATACCATTTGTGGCAAGAGCTAGTAAGGCTCAAGAGTTCCTATCCTTTTGTCTCTCGTTACTTTCTGTGCCTACTCACCCTTTTTTGGGGCAGAGCAGATACTTTGCTCTGCGTTGAGCCTGTGAGGATGCTGAAGTGGGTCTGCGTCCTGGGATCTGAAGGCTGTCGTTTAACCTTGCTGCCAGGCACTCTGCGAAGTTGTTAACTTAGTGTGTTGATGGCGTTACACTTTACAGGTCGTTGGGGATCTCATGGTTAGAATCCAGCGCATCCCAGATTTCACTCCCAAACTTCTGCTGGTCAGGAAACGCTTGCTGGGCTTGGAGCCGGAAGGGCCCATGTGAGTAAATATGTTGCATATTCACCAAGACCCCCAGTTGGTTTTTCTGTGCGCCAGTCCTGACTCTCTGCTGATTTTTCTTCTCTTTCTCAGCATTGACCACATGACGTTACTAGAGGGCGTGATTGTGCTGGAAGAATTCTGCAAAGAGCTGGCAGCAATTGCATTTGTGAAGTATCATGCCTCATCTACACCATAAGCAGCCTTGATGAGTAGCCAGGCTGTAAAACCACCGAGCCTGGTCCAGACTCTGGTGACAACACCCAGATAAGAAGAGGTGGTGCCTCCTGGAATAGTGTCAGTTGACATTTGGCAGAATTGGAAGACAAGTTACTTTCACCAGATGTTGACAATGTAAGATTGATTCAAATGGATTCAAATGGACCTAGAATCTGACTGAAGGCATTTGGGGAGAAACCAATACATAGCATTTCTAGCCACTGTGTGAAGAGCTGCAAAAGCTGCATGAAGAACCACAGACACCAGACCTTGGTTATTCTGTTAATAATGACCACACCTAGAGATTTGGGTCTTTTGTATGTTCTGGGGCTCACATGCGTCAATTTGCTTTTTGTGACCATATTACTTTTAAAAAGCAAATTAATTTTATAACATTTTTAATGTCTTAATTATTTTTCTTTATGATTGGATATATGAAAGGAAATCACAACTGCAGTTGCAATGTATGTTATTAAAAATGAAGAGGCTCAAAAAATCCACCAATCCATATACAGTAGGACATATTAATGAGGGATCATTTTTGTTTTCATGAATCTTAGACAACTCTGAGCTTGATTCCCCAATGGATTATTCCAGGAGATATGTCAGTATAAAGTCAATACTAATGGAATTAATCCATCACATCCATAACAAATATATCTGAAGTGTACATGTTGCTAGCACGTTTGTCCCTGTCATTCCAAGGATTGCTCTTCAGGTCATCTGAGGAACTAGATTTGCTTTAGGTTTTTGCATGTGAACTCTAGTTGTTTGACTCATGTCACCTTTACAGGGAAGTTAATTTTAGGTCATTAGTAGTTGTTGCTGAAACAGTATTTTTAATTTCTTTTAGATCGATATTTATCCTGAATTGGTTTAAGAATCTTTTGTGCCTTGAAAATTGTCAGCGTAAACATTCTGTCATTTTTAGAAATGTTTTTATTCTTATTTAACCATAGCAGTAGTGACCAGCAAAAGATTGATGCCAATTCAGTTTAAAAGTGTTGATACCACGTATAGGACCAAAATTTACACCTGCTTTTCATAGTGCTGGAATGCAGAAATGTCTCTTAGTGGATCTTTTTCAATATGAATACTATCAGCCAGGGCAGGCATTTGCATTGCAAGCGGAGGGCCGTTTGGACTTCAGCACGCTTTACTTCTATTCCTCCAGCACAAGGGCAGCCTGCACTTCAGACAGTGCTTCCTGCTTGCTGCCGCAGATGCACCGGCAGGTTCAGGGGGCTGTGCTTTAACCTGCAAGCACATTGAGTGACATGGAGGAGAGACCTGTCCTGCTCTCCGCACAGGTGTGTAGTACCTCTTTCCCCTCCTATGAACATATTAGCATAGGCAGGCAAGGTAGAGTTTAGCTCCTTCTGTTTACATTGTATTTCTTCCTTTGTCTTTCCTGCGATTCTGTTTGCACAGCCAATGCCCATTTCAGGTGTGATTGCTCATACACAAATATGGACTAATTTACTCAGTCACTAGAATTTTTCTGGATTTACATGACTGTACCTAGAATCAGTTTCTGCTCTAAATCTATGCCTTTGAGATTTTTTTTTTAAATATTTATGGAACCTGGATGTTATCAGGTTAATTAGAACAGTGTCACAGTTAATGGGCTAAATTTATTCTTGTCACAACAGTGGGGAGGGTCCTGCTGTAAAACCTTTCAGTACAGATCTAGCTGGAGATAGCAGTTCTGGAACTAGGGAAACATTTTTGCAGGTAAAACCAGTATTCAGTGGCTCCCTATACGGGGAGGCTTTTGCGTTTATCATTGCATGTATCTGGCAAACAAAAGCATGTTTTACTTCCTCACCTGCTGGTTTTTTTTCTGAGTTTAGCCCCAAAGTGTTTGCAGGTCAAAGTAGCGTAGTAGGATAAAGTTTAAAAAAGTGACACTTTTTCATTTTTGTTCTTTAGAAACATACCTTGAAAGTAGCAAATAATCTTTAGTGATATGTGTTGTAGTCAGTCCATATTTGAAGCTTTGTTGACGTAACATACCTGACTCATAGTTTAGAAAATGTAAATGTCTATGCAGCATGATGATATTTGTTATAAATAAGGTCCCAGTTCAGCAAGGCAGTTAGACATAAGCTTAATTGCAATAATTTTATTCCTAAATCACAATCTCTTAAATGAACAAGGTTAAGCTGCTGAGCACAAATGCTGATGCTTTACTGAATTTGGGTCTTTGTTGGTTTTGCTTGACCTTAATTGCTTTTTCCTCAAATTTTCTATTTTCATTATTTATTTTTTTTAAGTGTATATTCCAGAATACTTCTAATGTCCCAATTTCAGTGGAAACTGGAAGTGATAATGCTACTAGAAATGAAAGTGAGAGAAACGTTGAACAAAACTTGCAAAAGCATTCCAAGTAATGTAACAATTTATAAAGCTATTCAAGAGATGCCTGATCTCAAATGAAGCCATTAACATCACCTCTTTTGTTGTTGTTGTTTTCACTGATACCTGAGCTCATTACACCATAAGGAATTGTATCAGTCAGCTTCTGGAAGGACTGCTGCAAGCTCTGTGGCATTTTAATGCAATACAGTCTGCCAGGCTGCAACCACAATTCCTTCTGCTTGTCTCTGAGAAAAATAAGTAGATTTAACTACAAGCACTCTTAAATTCAGGATATAATTATTAAGTCTCCAGCAATGTTGGTGATGTTCTTGCAAACCAAATATTATTTAGTTGATAAATTTATAAGACATGGATCCATCCTGATAGAAGTGAAGCAATCCTTAAAATTCTTTAGCCTAAACTGCTTTTGTGAAAGCTGCCTACAAACCCTTAATTACCGTACATGATGGCAATGACCTATATTTTTGTAAAAGTGATTTAATCTTCCTTAAGAGATGGAACTCATTTAATTATTTTTTGTGGTGATATTTTTCATGCACTTTTTTTTTTAAAAAAAAAGGTTAGAAGTTAGTTCAGGTCCATGTTTTCACCTTTCCGATCTATGCATGTCATTGAGGTGCCCATTTTGTTTCTGTGTGCATGTGTTTGTATGTGGTTATTTATTACCCAGAGATGGACACCTGAGAAAAGATACGGCCTGAAGTTCACAGCATATGCAGATCCTCCAGATTACGGTGGGAAATGCATCCCCTTAGAAAATACGGCCACTAGTATTAGATTGACATACTTGAGGGAGGTAAAACTAGAATAATTTTTTATTTCAAAAAGCAAATCCAAACCATATTTTTATCCTGATGCACGTGTCTGTTAATAGACACCTTTTTACTTCTTTTCCATTTGTAGTATGGATTTGATTTAGACTCCAGTGTAGAAATTTTTGTAATAAGCCATGTGATAGCTCTGGTAGAACAAGTTTGTCCTTAGTTTCTCATATGATTGTAGTATTCTTGGTATTCAGATCCTGTTTGTGTGATGTTCTTACTATGTATTTGTCTGTGCAATATAAAGGCTGTGATTTGATACACAGCTTGAGTCTGGTTGTACATCGCCTGTGTATATATATATACACATATATATATATATATAAGGACCAGAATCCCGAGCATGCTTACACTACGATTAGTGTAAAGATTGTTGCACTTGATTTTACAGGGCACAAGTAATCGTGGATTGGCTTTGTAAATGCATGGTAATTTCTACCATAACCTGCTATGAGATTTCACAGATGACATTTTATTAGTGCTATTTGTCTTGCTGAAAGAAACCGAACTGCTAGGGAAAATCAAAGGATTATGTAGCAGATTTGGGGCTACATGGAAAATCCATATCTGGTGTTGCGTATCGTACAGGGTTTTCAAACCATGATCCTCAATACTTTCTGTGCCCTGTAAAATAGTGTAGCTATATAAAATATATACACTTTGGTTTGCCTTCTGCCTTGTTTACATTAAACAGAGGATATTCAGTAAATTTTTTCTATTAAACGTTGTGTAGGTCACTTACTGACAGTGTTGCCAAGGTTTCACAGGTGTGGGATTTCCAGTGAGGAATTGTTGAAACAGCCACATTACCAGACATACAATATTAAGTTTTATGAAGGAGTTTGTGATAAAAAACAACTTTTTGTGCTAAAAAAAATGCACAGACAATTAAAGGGGATATTCTCAAAATAAATTAATTTCATCAAAGTGACTGTGTCTATTATTACAGAATCCATAATGGGTTTTATATAGATGACCTTGGGATAGAAAATGTTTTAACATTTTACATCATGCCTTTAATCCTGAAGCCCTGTCATTTATTTTTATTACATCCTGAAATCCTTTCATTTACTCTGAGTCTGTCACTGCAGCATCCTCTGGGATTAACCTGTTTCCTGTACTAGACTGTGCAGGGCTTGGAGTGAATCGGCACACTCTTGCCCGTGAAAATGGGAGGCAGAGGGAGATGGCCAGGATGGAGTAATCCTGAACACAGTTTAACGTCTGCTTTTCCTGAGAGCTGTAATGTCTCTCAAGACTGCAGCTGGTCAAGACCTTGGTTTTCTATTGCATTTGAGCGCAGAGTGCGTCAGTCACAACATTAGTTTATTGAATTAGGTACGAATGCCAGGTTCGTGAGTAAGCATCCTTTCTTCCTTCAGGGCCTTTGGGGAAGGCTTTTATACGTAGGGGTTTATGTATGTTTTTACATATTTTAAAGTTGTATTTGTTGGGTATTTTTTCTTAGGATCTCATCTAGTTTTGGTGTCCTTCAGGTTTTCATCAGACACTTGAAAATCTTACCGCACTGTAGGATCCCCTCTGAGGGCTACACTTGGATGTTAAGCTGTTCCTCCTCGGTATTTAGCAGCTGCAAGTGCTCTTGCATCTTTAACAAGAAGAGCGCTACAGCAAGATGATACACTTGACAGCTTTTTTGTATAGCTCTCAGCATCTTCCTCCGATCCTCTTGAGTCTCAGAGATTGTCATCTCTCACCCCAGATCATTTGTTTGCTGTGCCTGCATGAGGCATGTAGAGATTTAGGGACACTTTGC